TGTTACAAAGGAAGCCTACTTCCCAAAATATTACTACTAAACCGATTATAAGAAATTAATTAAATATTTCAACATTTAAATTTTTCATAAACTAAATCAACTCTAAATATAATATAGAAAAATAAGGAAACGAGCCCCAAACATCAGGGTATCACTAAGTCATGAGCGTCTAAAACTATGAACTAAGATATATAACTGTCTAAAAGAAGAAACAACAAAAGGAATAACAAGGTCCTGCGGACACTAGCAGCTACCTTGCAATCTCCACACAGAGTACAAAGTGTAGTATGAGTACAACCGACTCAGTAGTAATAGAAATAACTAAGGAACTGAGCAGTAATGATGAGCTAAGTAAAACAATCCAATTATTTGTTTTCACAATTTTAAAATTTATAGAAATAAACAGGTAAATTCCATAACTCAGTAAATGCCACAAAGAAATTTAACAGATAAATGCAGCAATAGCACAAATAAATACAACCTCACAGCAGTGTCACTCCATCACTCATCACTCGCACTCAACACTCAATACACTCAACACTCTGCGCTTACTGGGGTGTGTACAGACTTCGGAGGGGCTCCCAAAGTCCAAGCGCTAAGCACTGACAACTCATATGCCATAATATCATTACTTGGATCCGCACGGTCAGCTCACGTGCTACGCGGACAGCTCACGCGCTATTGTATCAATACCTGGATCCGCACGGTCAGCTCATGTGCCACGCGGACAGCTCACACGCTATGGTATTAATATCCTCACAACCAGGCCCTCAGCTTCACTCGGTCATATACCTCCTCAGCCTCACAATGCACCACTAATAAGGGGACACAACCTGCATCAAGTATCACAAAATATCAGCAAAATAATAGAGACTGAGGTAAACATGTACAATAATTTCTATGACTGAGTACAAATAACGTGAGCATGAATGAAGCCTAAACATGATCTCTAACGTAAAGGCAGATAAGTTCACCAACAAGTAAATGCATTAACACAGATAACGGTTATTAGGCCTCACAGCCTCACGGGATGGACCAAGTCTCAATCCTTCGAGGTATACACCCACACGCCCATCACCTAGCTTGGGTATCACCTCCAAACAATCACATGATATCAAATTCCCTGGGTTTATACCCTCAAGGTCAGAGTTAAAATTGTTACTTACCTTAACAACGTAAAATTCTACTTCAAGATGTCCTCGTCCGACTCGATCTCCAAGAGCTCCGAATCTATCCATAATCAGATTAATACTATTAACATAGGCTAAAGAATTGAATTCCACAATAAAAACTATATAAATAGGCCAAAAATCTGTAAAAAGTCAAAACCCGGCCTCGGGCCCACATCTTGAAACCACTCCAAAATAGCCTAATAATAAACCTTGTCCTCTCCCAAGTCTAACCATATAAAATTTATCAAAATCGGACTCCGTTTGGTCCCTCAAATTCCTACCTAAATTTCTCCAAAACTCAAGCCCAAACTCCCTCAATTCACTTTGAAATCATCAATCAAATCCCAAAAATGAAGATGGATTCATGAAATATAACCAAAACCAAATAGAGAACACTTACCCCAATCCTTATGGTAAAAACCGGCTCCAAAACCGCCCAAATCCGAGCTCTCCAACTCAAAATATGATCGAATGAACAAACCCTTGTTTTATATTTTTCTGCTAGCTGTTCTGCCTCGTTTCTCGTGTCAAACAATCCTGAAACTCACTTTTTGTAGCTCCAATGGATTCCATGTTAAATTCTAATCAAGTTATGCTTTTGAATCACTCAATTTGACCTTATAATGAATAAGATATGTCAGTTTCAATATTTGCAAATAGTGCAGATTTTTAAATATGCCATCAGTGGCAATTTCGTAATTAATCTGAAAAATCTGGCAACCTAATTCTTAGTAAAATGACTATAAAATCCTCATACGATGTCCAAATTCGACGATTCTTTTTGCTACAGTCCGTAATTACGATACGGATCTAATGCTTCAATCAAAAAAGAAATCGGAGCTTATTTGTTCAATATGATATCATTTATGCTTGAAGAAATGACGTCGAAACATAAGAAAAACGAGCGCAACACAACCCAAACCTATCCGACACTCATCCGAGGCCCTCGGGACCTTAACCAATAATTTCTACAAGTTATATATCACTACCCGAACTTAGTCGAACCTTCGGAACACCCAAAACAACACCAAAACACCAAATCAATCTCGAATTCAAGCCTAAGAACTTCTAAACTTCCAACTTTCGCCAATTCAAGCCTAATTCTACGACGGAACTCCAAATTACATTCCGTACACATTCCTAAGTCTAAAATCACCCAACGAAGCTAATCGAATCATAAAAATCCAAATCCGAATTCGATTACTCCTAAGTCAACTTCCGGATGACTTTTTGAACTTAGCTTTCTAACTAAGAGACTAAGTGATCATTTCACTCTAAAAATACTCCAAACCCAAACCTACCAACTCGATACAACTCAACACAGATGGACTACACCTAAATAAACATAGATGGGGAAAATGGGGCTATAACTCTTAGAACGAATGATCGGGTCGTTACATCCTCCCCCTCTTCAACAAACGTTCATCCTCGAACGAGTCTAAAAACGAAACATACGTGAAGTCTCAAATAGGTGAAACCTTCAGCAATACCTTCTCATCACATTCAAATCATATGAACTCATCTAGCGGTCACATCATACTCATCACGTATCCATCCAGCCACCATTTTCACTGATAGGGACACTACCGGACATATAGGTCTAAAATCGCGCGCTCACACAATCAACACCTCAGTGCTTAATCTACAGTCAAAACTCGGCCTTAAGTCCTCCAGACTGGCCCAACATCAACACACATAAATCATATCTCGCACCTTATGCAGGGAATCACAATCCGTCAATGCACAACTGATATCGAGTGCTTATGTGCGCATATGAATGCATGGAAGGAATTCAAAGAGTTACACTTCAAGATGAATCAATATTGCACGATAAAAATTCAAGAAGGTGAAGTATTCCTAAAGGTTCTACAGCCTCTCGAAGATAAGTACAGACGTCTCTGTACCGATCCGACTCTACTTAACCCGCTCATGACTCGTGAGACCTATGTAACCTAGGCTCTGATACCAACTTGTCACAACCCAAAATCTAACCATGGTCGTGATGGCGCCTATCGTGTTATAAGGCAAGCCTACTTCCCAAAATATTACCACTAAACAGATTATAAGAAATTAATAAAATATTTCAACATTTAAATTTTTCATAAACTAAATCAACTCTAAATATAATATAGAAAAATGTGGAAACGAGCCTCAAACATCAGCGTGTAACTAAGTCATGAGCGTCTAAAACTATGAACTAAGATATACAATTGTCTAAAAGAAGAAACGACAAAAGGAATAACAAGGTCTTGCGGACACTAGCAGCTACCTTGCAATCTCCACAAATAGCCGGTCTGAACTCAACGATCATTGTGCTCTAACTCACTTGGATCTACGCATAAAGTGTAGGGTGTAGTATGAGTATAACTGACTCAGTAGTAACAGAAATAACTAAGGAACTGAGCAGTAGTGACGAGTTATGAAAAAAAACTTGAAGTTTTCTGAGTGAAAGAAAAAATTTCACCCAAAAATTACCCTAAACCAGTTTGGGAACTTGAAAAAAAAATCTAAAATTTTTCAAAAACTGATCATTTTCCATGAACAATAATGTTTTCAAATTTTTGTTTGAAAAATGTACCCAAAATCTATGGCCAAATGGCTGCTCATTCTTTATGGTATTTGAAAGTTATGTTTCAAATTTGAGCTTATTTGAAAAAGATTTGGAATTGCATCGTGTAATGGATTGTTGAAATTCGAAAAATAATTTTATGTTTCAGAATTTAAGATTCGAAATCAGAAGTTGCATTCAATAGAATGAACTTCTTAAGATTTAAATTTCTGAAGCTACATTTGAAAGATAGAAGAACTTCATATTTGATTTCTGAAGTTGCATTGAAAATATTGAACTACTTCATATTCGAATTTCTAAAATTGCATTGGAAAGATAGAGAGCATTGAAGAGATTGAACTACTTCAGACCCGAGCGGTACACTTTGTAAAATTTTGTACAATGAGGGTATAATTTCAATGGTGACCCTAAATAATCTAAACGACAAGCCAAATGGACCTTTGGCTGATGAAATAGTAAAAATTGCACGGGGCGTCTTATTTGGTCGCCCCCATTTAATCTATACCTATTTTTTAAAAAAGTTTTAACTTGTACCCACTTTTTAAATAATTTCAACCCCTTTTCTCATCATCCTTCTCCCAGTGATCTCTAGAACTTAACATTGATGTAACAATGAAACGTCTGTGTTTTCTTCTTATTCTTCTTTTTTTCCCTCGTAGTTAGGACATTAGTGTTGTAGGAAACAACGAATGATAAAAGCACAAACATCTGAATAAATATACTACTTTAATTTGCTTACATTGATCTAGCAAAAGGATCTAGCAGCTGAAAGAAGACAAACAATATTTTCATTGTTTGTCTCTCCAAATCCCTGAACGCTGAACATGAGCATTTCTGTTCTCAATTGATGATATCCTTTGTTCGCACTACAAGAAAACGAGGTTATTATGGCGGCTATTTTAGCATATAATGGCGGTTTGAAACCGCCATAATACACATTAACGGCGGCTTTTAAAAGCGCCACAATCCCGTCTGCCAAAATTATATTATGGCGTTTCTGGGCAAACCACCGTAATGACATGTAAAAACCGCCGTATTTTAACAGTTTTAATGTAGCTTTTATTTTTGCATATTAAGGCGGTTTTAAACCGCCATAATGTGTTTTTTCTGCTTCAGCCTTTTCACAATCCTATTTTTTCACATTTAGAGTCCTATTTATTGAATGCTATGCTTTGAAACTTCTGTAGCACTTCATAATCAATTAAACCCAATATAGAATATTAAAAAAGAAAAAATATTCATTATATAAAACACAAGTATATCAAAATTACATCATCCAAATATTAATGCTTCAAAGTGTATTTCAACAGTAATATCCAAAAGATTCATAGTTGATCCAACAAAATAATCACAAATTCACACTTGCACAAGTATACCAAAATTACATCATCCAAATATTAATACTTCAAATTGTATTTCCACAGTAATATCCAAAAGATCCATAGTTGATCCTATAAAATAATCACTAACTCACACTTGGACGATCATCATTGTTACTTTCATCTAAAGATCTTCTTGGTTCAACTGTTGATGGTGCATCACTTCCTAAATCTGGTGCCTGAAAAAAAGGAAGCAAAAATACAATCAATAAGCAAATAACTAAAATGTTAACAGGTAAGCTGAAGTAGGAGGACTGGATTTACTATGAGACTCTTATTTAGTCTGATAAATATACCAATAATAGTTTATTTGTATGAAGATTCGAAGCCAAACGACTAATCACTTTAATGAGAGGTTTTGTATTTTATTTCTGTTTTTTTGTCAACTGTTAACTGTTTAATTCTCTTTACAATTTGGAACATGACCACAAGTAAAAACTTCTGAAAATTTTTAAACCCCATACAACCTTTTCTCTATTAGCAGCCCATCATTTTCTTGGCCGCAAGTCCAGGTTTTGTTGTCACAGTTCCATCATTTCCAGCCAAAGCACTGTATTTATCCTTCCTAGTAAAATTAGTGCACTCATACGATAAAGTTGCAGCATATAACCATAAGAAAAGCAACTAAAATTTTACTGTAGCAAGAGAACTTATACCTGTGGAGGAGTGAAAAATAAGTGAGCAAACTCCTCGGGGATATTCCCTATGTTCCTTTCATATAAGCTAATTAGTGCATTTAATTTTGATTTCACATCTGTCATCTCTTGCTTCCGCGCCGGAGTTGGAGCGGTAGTGCTAGATGAACCCACATAACCACGACGGTATCTCACAAATGTCTGTTTGAATGCTACTATTGGAACTACACCCAAGCCTAAACCTCGAACACAGCCGGGGTGCTCGGGACCGAATACTATGCCAAGTGCATCATTTGGTGAAGGTTCATCAAGACTTTCTGCTCTTTCAGTTCGAATTTCTTCAATTCTTTCCTACAAAAATTGAAGAAGCATAAACTAAGCAATATGAAGGTGCTTGGAACTTGGAAATGACAAGAATTATACATTAAACTGCTAGCTAAAACAAGAATCAAACCATTAACAGATCCATAACACCACATCCCAAAATGAAATGCAAATTATACCATATGGTCTAGCCAAAATTCCCGTAGAAGCAGCAGATCTCATTTAACGCTAATCTGCTAACATAACAACACTAATCACCTCATATATATCATTTCCGTAGAAGCAGCAGATCTCATTTCCGTGGACCACAAAAAAACCGCACTAAATGACTTCATATATATCAACATCGAAACTCACAGTAAAAAATATTGTCACCAACAACCTATCATGCATCTCAGACTATCAAAATGCTAGTGGAAATAT